AATTTTTTTTTTTATTTTTTTGCGATTTTTTTTTGCTGCGATGCCCTGTTTTTTTTTCAATGGCGCAGTCCTTTTTTTTTGCACCCTCCTCCTATTTTTTTTTGATTCTCCTGCCTCTTTTTTTTTAGTAGCTGGGATTATTTTTTTTTGCACCACATCTGGGTTTTTTTTTGTATTTTTAGTAGATTTTTTTTTTCACCGTGTTGGCCTTTTTTTTTTCAAACTCCTGACCTTTTTTTTTCTGCCCACCTCAGCTTTTTTTTTTGCTGGGATTACAGTTTTTTTTTACTGCACCCGGTTTTTTTTTTTTTTTTAAATGATTATTTTTTTTTTCATCAAGACTAATTTTTTTTTTTATTTTCCCTGTTATTTTTTTTTTGGATTTTATGCTTTTTTTTTTTTTCAAATTTGCTTGGTTTTTTTTTGTTGATCAGGGTATTTTTTTTTTTCAGGGAAAAGAACTTTTTTTTTGCTTGCTGATACCATTTTTTTTTCCAACGTACTGTTCTTTTTTTTTAACAGGAACAAGGTTTTTTTTTTTCCCATGAAATCTGTTTTTTTTTTGTTGACCCTTTCATTTTTTTTTCATGTTGTTCTGCCTTTTTTTTTTGACTCCGATTTGATTTTTTTTTCATCTTTTGATAGGTTTTTTTTTTATATTTATACAGGTTTTTTTTTAGGCAAGGTAAGCCTTTTTTTTTGCAAATCAGGCATCTTTTTTTTTGGCTCATTTAATGTTTTTTTTTTTTGTTTCCTTTGAATTTTTTTTTATTCTTGGACTAAGTTTTTTTTTTGCCTGCAGCAAATTTTTTTTTTTTTTCCTCCATTACTTTTTTTTTATTTTTGATCTTTGTTTTTTTTTTGATAGAGATTATTTTTTTTTTTAAAGCGTGGAAGGATTTTTTTTTGATGCTAGTAATGATTTTTTTTTATGAAATTATAAAATTTTTTTTTCATGTTATCAACTGTTTTTTTTTTGATCAAAATGTCTTTTTTTTTTGTTTTATAAAAGATTTTTTTTTTCAGGCAAACTTAACTTTTTTTTTTGAGACTTATTCTTTTTTTTTTTTTTTGTTAACTTCTTTTTTTTTTTTTTGGAATGTGTATTTTTTTTTCTCTGGAATACATTTTTTTTTTTGTTTCTTCTGTGGATTTTTTTTTCAGGTCAGGTGACCTTTTTTTTTTCTTTTCATGCTTATTTTTTTTTCACTGGGCATCTTGTTTTTTTTTTATTTTTATTTTTTTTTTTTTTTACATGGGCTAGTATTTTTTTTTTGCTATTTTAGACAGTTTTTTTTTGCTTTTTTTTTTTTTTTTTTTTTATGGAGGCTCACTCTTTTTTTTTGGCTGGAGTGCAGTTTTTTTTTTCAGTTCACTGCAACTTTTTTTTTCTGGGTTCAAGCGATTTTTTTTTCTCAGCCTCTTGAGTTTTTTTTTTTACTCCTGACTTTTTTTTTTTTGTCCACCTCAGCCTTTTTTTTTTCTGTGATTACAGGTTTTTTTTTTTGCACCCGGCCTTATTTTTTTTTTTTTTTTTTGAGATTTTTTTTTTCTCTTGTTGCCCAGTTTTTTTTTCAATGGCATGATCTTTTTTTTTTGCAACCTCTGCCTCTTTTTTTTTAGCGATTCTCAGCCTTTTTTTTTCAAGTAGCTGGGATTTTTTTTTTTCACCACCATGCCTTTTTTTTTTTGTATTTTTAGTAGTTTTTTTTTTTCTCCATGTTGATTTTTTTTTTCTTAAACTCCCAACTTTTTTTTTTCCGCTTGCCTCGGTTTTTTTTTGTGCTGGGATTATATTTTTTTTTCACCGCTCCCGACCTTTTTTTTTGATTTTTAAGAAATTTTTTTTTTATACACACAGCGTATTTTTTTTTATTTCAGCCATATTTTTTTTTTTAGTTCAGTGGTATTTTTTTTTTTTCACTCTGTTGTGCTTTTTTTTTCATCCATCTTTAGATTTTTTTTTTCTTGTAAAACTGGTTTTTTTTTCCTATTGAATCGTATTTTTTTTTTTCCTGCTCTCTGCTTTTTTTTTAAAACACCCTTTGATTTTTTTTTTTTAAGAATTTGACTTTTTTTTTTACCTCATATAAGGTTTTTTTTTTAGTATTTGCCCTTTTTTTTTTTGCTTATTTCACTTATTTTTTTTTCCTCAATTTCATCCTTTTTTTTTCATGTGTCAGAATTTTTTTTTTTTTCAAGTCTCAATATTTTTTTTTTTTATGTATATACCTTTTTTTTTTATATGGCTTATCTTTTTTTTTTTACTTGGGTGGCTTTTTTTTTTTGGCTATTGTGAATATTTTTTTTTATAATATTTTAAGATTTTTTTTTCCAGGCATGGTGGCTTTTTTTTTTAATCCCAGCACTTTTTTTTTTTAAGGTAGGCAGATCTTTTTTTTTTGGGAGTTTGAGACTTTTTTTTTCAACATGGATAAACTTTTTTTTTACTAAAAATACAAATTTTTTTTTGCATGGTGGCACATTTTTTTTTTCCCAGATACTCAGGTTTTTTTTTCAGGAGAATCGCTTTTTTTTTTTAGGCAGAGGTTGTGTTTTTTTTTGATCGCACCGTTGCTTTTTTTTTTGGGCAACAAGAGTTTTTTTTTTTCTCAAAAAAAAAATTTTTTTTTAAAAAGAATAGATTTTTTTTTTTTCTTATTTAAGGAGTTTTTTTTTCAATATCAGTTAATTTTTTTTTTTATATGGAATAGAGTTTTTTTTTTTTTTACCCAGTCTTTTTTTTTTATTAGAAACAAGCCTTTTTTTTTTACTGTTAGTTATCTTTTTTTTTACTTTTCTCCCCCTTTTTTTTTTTTTAGATTTTGGTCTTTTTTTTTGATTCTCAGGATCTTTTTTTTTTCTTCAGAGTAACAATTTTTTTTTGCAATACCACGGCCTTTTTTTTTATTGAGTTTGCCCGTTTTTTTTTGTGAGTGAGATCTTTTTTTTTTTGGGACAGTTTTAAGTTTTTTTTTAATGCAAAAATACATTTTTTTTTGCAGTTTTCATGTATTTTTTTTTTCTTAAAAAAATGTTTTTTTTTTTTTTAGAAACTTCTTTTTTTTTTGAGTTCATAAAATTTTTTTTTTTAGTTACATCTTCCTTTTTTTTTTGTTGTCAGGCAGTTTTTTTTTTTAAAAATAAGTAAATTTTTTTTTTTTAGAACCAAAATGTTTTTTTTTTAGTAAGCACTGGGTTTTTTTTTACTATTATTATCATTTTTTTTTTTGTCATCAAATTCATTTTTTTTTTGAATATAGCCTATTTTTTTTTTTAATTTTGGATGTTTTTTTTTTTAGGTTGGTTACCTATTTTTTTTTCGTAGAATATATCATTTTTTTTTGGAAATAGGTTGTCTTTTTTTTTTAATAGTCCTCCTATTTTTTTTTGGAACACCCATACATTTTTTTTTGCAGAGGTCCCCAATTTTTTTTTCACGGACCAGTATTTTTTTTTTTGGAACCGTGCCGCATTTTTTTTTGTGAACATTACCACTTTTTTTTTTGCCTCCTGTCAGATTTTTTTTTGCATTAGATTCTCATTTTTTTTTGGACCCGATTTTGATTTTTTTTTGTGAGGGATCTAGGTTTTTTTTTCCTTATGAGAATCTTTTTTTTTTTGATCTGAGGTGGATTTTTTTTTTCCTGAAACCATAATTTTTTTTTCAGCCTGGTCCATGTTTTTTTTTTCTTCCATAAAACCTTTTTTTTTTGCCAAAAACGATGTTTTTTTTTGACTTAGAGGATATTTTTTTTTTAAATTCTGTTGAATTTTTTTTTTGTTACAGTCAGTGATTTTTTTTTGAAAGTGATGAAATTTTTTTTTTTTTATACAGATTTCTTTTTTTTTCAATGTCATTACAGTTTTTTTTTCATTTTAAAATGACTTTTTTTTTTTATTACCTCATTTTTTTTTTTTTATGTAAAACAGGCTTTTTTTTTGAAGTATTTATATCTTTTTTTTTGTAAACTTGTGAATTTTTTTTTTTGGTTTCAGTAGAGTTTTTTTTTAACTTAGTTAATATTTTTTTTTTGTATATTTTGGGTTTTTTTTTTTACAGGAAGTATAAATTTTTTTTTCACTTCAAATTATATTTTTTTTTGGGAGATGACAAGTTTTTTTTTTAATATTCTAGTCTGTTTTTTTTTTTTTCCCTCAATTCTTTTTTTTTTTATTAGTTGTCTTTTTTTTTTTAGGAACAGATTTCTTTTTTTTTTTGTTGATATTTTTATTTTTTTTTTAGTTGCTTTTTAATTTTTTTTTCAGATCGAATAATCTTTTTTTTTGATGGCAGAGAAATTTTTTTTTTTGGAAGAGATGGAGTTTTTTTTTCTATGCAGAAATTGTTTTTTTTTGTGAATAGGTATGTTTTTTTTTTTAGAAGAATATGTGTTTTTTTTTGACCTGGGCTTGAGTTTTTTTTTTCCTTGGTACTTTCTTTTTTTTTTAGGACCCCATGGATTTTTTTTTGTTTCTCTGGGGATTTTTTTTTTATCGTGGCAGGTTCTTTTTTTTTGCACGCCCTGTACATTTTTTTTTAGAGCATTGGCAACTTTTTTTTTATTCTCCATGGGACTTTTTTTTTACTCCTCTTGGATGTTTTTTTTTGTACATTAGGACATTTTTTTTTTTAGTCACATAATCTTTTTTTTTTGGAATCTGTTCTTATTTTTTTTTTTTTCTTT